TTATTTTTTTAAGAAACATCTTAGATAGTTGTATTTTGGTTGGACTAAAGAAATGTTTGGAGCACAAATTAATTATATGTTTGTAGGCAAACTTTACCGAAAAAATCCAAAAATCTGAGGTTTATTAGTTTGGTTTGATTTATAAATTTAAAAATTCGACACAATGGTTTGGTTTGGTATTTGAAAAACTCGAACCAACCCAAGGTTGAAAAACCCGAAAAAATCTGACTTTTATTAATTTGGTTTGGTTTATAAATTTAATTTTTTTACACAAATGGTTTGGTTTGATATTTGAAAAACCCGAACCAATCCGGTCATGTACACCCCTACTAGTGGGCACAACTAACAACATGTATTGAAGGATCGTTTGATAGAGTGTATAAGAACAATACCGAATATATTATATTATTAATGTTGAGATTAGTTATGCTGAAATTATTTCTTATCTACTATTTTGGTTTGGTTTATTAAGAACGTTCTCTTTAACCATACATTAATATCATGATTTACTATGTAATTAAATAGGGTATTGCAAAGGTCAAGTAATGCATGGGCTCAAAGACAGATACAGGAGGCAGAATTGAGATGGGCTTTAATGGAGGCCCAGTAAAGTTTGATTTTGGCCCATTTGAACTCGACCATTTATCTGTAGCATAGGTTCTGATAAAGATTAAAAAAAAAAAAAAAAATTCTCCCTTTATATTTTTGTTCTGGTGCATATTTTATAGTGTAAATTTCTAATATGACATATATTATACTAATATTTTCGAGTTATATATATGACATATATTAGACTAATATTTTCAAGTTATAGCAGTAGAATCAAACTTTCAAGTTGTAACATTAAAAATTTCAGGTTCTAACAGATCATTAAAAAAAAGTTATTTTTAATAATTAAAAACATTTGATTTGAAAAGAATAAACTGATAAAAAAAATTAAAATAAAACGTTTAAGAATGAAAAAATGAAAAAAACGGAAATAGGGATGGCTTTTAAATTTGAATTAAATTAAGATAATTATTAATTAGCATGAATTAAGGAATTTCAAACTAATTAAGAATATTCAGTTTCCTTAATTCACTCCAATTTGTTAAAATTAATTTAAAAATCAGATTTTATCCATTTTTCTTTTATGTTTCTCTCTCTTCGTTTTTCTTCCAGAAATTGAGACTGTCGACAACTTGGTTTAATTTTTTATACGCGATGCATTCATTAATCATACAAATTGCAATTACTGTTGGAAATAAAAATTTATTTCAATTTAATATATAAGATAGTGTTAATATTAGTGATAATTATACAAGGTAATTATGGAATGCATTTGGTATCATGAGTAATTAATGTAGTTTATCATGAATATTAATTTGATTTCCAACTTGTGTCCTACTATAAATGAAATTAAAACAATTTTTATACCAATCTTATTCAGGTGTCATTCAAATACTAACTTCAGTTTATATCAAATCTTTATACGAATTCATACATACAATATTCCAACAATCAAAACATTAAAGTCAGATGCATACATGTATTAATCAGATTTCATACACATTCCTTCCAATAATATGTTTAGAATATAAAACTGGCATCCCGAAAAATGGTATATCCTGAGTAATTAATGTAGTTTATCATGAATATTAATTTGGTTTCCAACTTGTGTCCTACTATAAATGAAATTAAAACAATTTTTATACCAATCTTATTCAGGTGTCATTCAAATACTAACTTCAGTTTATATCAAATCTTTATACGAATTCATACATACAATATTCCAACAATCAAAACATTAAAGTCAGATGCATACATGTATTAATCAGATTTCATACACATTCCATCCAAAAATATGTTTAGAATATAAAACTGGCATCCCGGAAAATGGTATATTCAATGTGTAATATATACCCCAAATAGTGAATCCAACTGGTATGAAGTCTGTATATAACTGGCATCCCGATAAATGGTAATTCTTTCATAGATGATATCTGACTGGAATTAAACATATGATATTATATATCATCAAATATATAATATTGAGCAACTTCTACATTTGTTATTTTTTTTCTTTTTTTCTTTTTTGTTTCACTAACAAAATCAGAATCAGATTCGGAAGGGGTTTCACCAATTTTCCCCTTCCTCTTACTTCCCCTTTTGATTTGTCGAAATCGGCCTTTTCTTTGCTTTATTTTTTTTCTCTTTTTTATCTTTCAACCGAGATGAACCACACGCCGCCGGAATTTCTGCCCTTTTAGGCGGGGGGGGGGTTGAGTTAATATATTGAAAGTTGGAACATGATCTTCATGAATATAAGTTCCTTCAACAGATCTTGCACTCTTTCGAGGAGTTTCAGTGTGTTTCTTAGACATGCTGATGATGAAAAACGTAACAAGAGTGACGATTGTGGTTGTGAGAAGGATTGGATGGACGGTTGTGAATGTGATGGTGGAGTGGTGAGGAAGATGGGAGTGAAAATTGTGAATATGGGGGTAGTGGGGTGGTGGCGTGTAATTGTGAATATGGGGGTAGTGGGGTGGTGGCGTGTAATTGTGAATATGGGGGTAGTGGGGTGGTGGCGTGTAATTGTGAATATGGGGGTAGTGGGGTGGTGGCGTGTAATTGTGAATATGGGGGTAGTGGGGTGGTGGCGTATAAACTGATAGGCTTGGGTGGGCGGGAATTGTGATTGGTGTATGAGGTAATTGGGGTGTAACGGTAAAAAAGGAAGTCTAATCAATGTAAATCCCTAAATTCGTGTAACTGATAATTTCGATTTTAAAAAAGGAACTGAAATTATATTAGCTAGCTATTAATAATTAATAATATAAAAATACAAAGAGATTAATCATTTTTAAATAAATCTTTAATTAATTTTAAATAAAGTTAAATTTAAGTAATATGTTATAACCCTTAAATAAACTGTTATAAGTAAGAATTTTTTAAGAATGTGTTTAAAACTTGTAATATTGTCCCTTAAATGTGTATATGGTGTGATTTTTCCTATTTTATAATTAAACAAGGCCATTCCATTTATGTTGCGAATGCTTTTTTCAAAATTTGACTCTATTTCTACTAATTGTTTACCCTGAGCTAGCTAGGAAGTCAACATGACAACAGCCTGATCAGATGAGGGAAGAGCAATGATATGCGTCCAGGCCAAAGATATTCATTCAAAGTCAAACTGAAAGAGGATGTCCAGTCTCGATCTGTAAGGTGTTGCTGCTCACCATGACAGTCTCGATCAACTTCTCATCACTCACTCCCGAACTCGACTAGTACTATTTAGAGTCAGGATCTGCAGAAAAAATGCAGTAAATAATATCAATAAGTATCATTATTCACCCACAACAAGATTCTAGTGATGCTCATCACCTCATATATACAGTACACTACTTCATATGTATGCATAAAGCGATATCGAATTAGCCTTTAGCTTTTCATGTACTCATGCTTACGAGTCCTGACTCTGGTGTGTTCAACTTATGTTCTTAAAATGTTTTAGCCAAAGTAGCTTCCATGTCCAGCCATTAAACAGCTAACTCTAGTCTCTTCTTATGTCCATTTAATTTATTGTATCACAAATCATGTCAAGGTATGAATCTAAATAAAAGAGGGATAGAATCTTCATTCTCTAATTTCAACTGATTACACATTGTTATATGCTCATAATTGAATCTATTTGACCAGCCTTAACGTGTCTTTGTTATTTGCCGGTGTTTTCTCCCTTTGTGCTTTCTTCTCTCTTTTCTTGTTTTCAGAAATTTAGAGTACTTTGAGTTACAATCTCCACCATGCTGCTGCTTGTTGTGTTCTTTCTGTTGTTTGATGGCATCAACACCACTGCCTCTTTGGTTTCTAGGTCGATATTGGGACCATAACTTTGCTACACTCTGACTAAAATCAACTCGTATCCTTCGATCATCAATTTTAGTATTATCCATCTTAAAATATGCTTGCTCACAGGACTCCTTGTCCTCGAACTCGATGAAAGCATAACAGTGACTATCCCTAGTCTTGTGATCTCTGATAATTTCAGCAGATGTCACGGTTCCAAAGCGTGAGAAGATTATATATAGTGCTTCCTCTTTAGTTGACGGATTTAATTTACAAACAAAGAGCACATTGTCAGGGGGTTTCATCTCAGCATAAGGAATGTCTCCTACACTTTCAAGTATTACTGCTCGGGAGTGTGCTTCCCTCTCTTCACGAACACCTAATTCCTCATCCTTTGGCATCCAATCATCCTCTAGTCGAACATCATCATCAATCTCATCTTTCGGCTTTCTTTCAGGTGAAGCATCTGGAATCAAGTCGTCTAACTGGGAAGGATCATCGAAAGGATCATACAATATGTAAGTGTGTTTGATTCGTATATTTTGATAAGGCTTGCCCTTGTCATCCACATAAGCTTCATTTATCCTATTCAATGTGTCAAACCCTTCTGTAATCTCTCCAAAAACAGTATGCTCCCCATCAAGGGAGTCGAGATCATCACGTAACGTGATATAGAACTGAGAAGCATTTAGATTCTTCTCACCAGTACCAGTGCTAGCCATCGCAACAGTTCCCCTCTTTGAATGCTTCAAGTCTGGATGAATCTCATCACCAAAAAAACGTGCCTGAGCCCCGTATAAAAATTTGTATATCGAATCCCCTCCGGATCCTGTTCCAGTTGGATCTCCCGTCTGCATTGTGAAATTCTTCCGAACGGTATGAAAGAGACAATTATGATAATATTTTATCTTGCATAATTTCAGAAAATTTTTGCATGTCAAAGGACATTCATCCGTAAACAAATCAACTACCATGTCCCCCAAACTTGTCACAATCATCACAGACATAGCGGAAGACGAATTTGAAAACCGGTGAACACAGAGGCGGAATAAGGACGAAATTTGCGGTGAACACGGAGGCCGAATAAAGAAGAGGGACGAATAGGGAAGGGTGGAATTGCCGCTGGCTTTATTTATAAGAGGGAAAAAAAGTAACGCGGTGAAACTGTTAGTCTAGTCCTACTAGGATTACTTACTTTAAACTATTCCTTTTCCTTATTGAACTTGTGTGTCTCTTTCCTTTTTTACCAAGGACGTGTTTATATTTATTTCTTTCCTTCTTCAATTTGAATTGGTATTTTTTTATTTCTTTCCTTCTTTGCTCCTTTGTTTCAGCTAATTCTTTATTATTATTTTTTGCTTCTTTATTTCTGTACTTTAATATTTTTCTTCTTTGCCGCAATCTCTCATATTTGTACAGGTTGACTGCATTCATATCTAGGAACCTGGTTCACCTGATAGAGTACACAAACAAATAGTGAACCATGTTCACTTTATCAATCATCAAAACTACTTTATATGTTCTCCTACTTCCCAACAATTTCCACATTTTTGATGATGATAAACAATACTTTGTCACATATCAAAACTCTTTGTCAATCATCAAAACTACAAACATCATGTTCTCTTATTCCCCAACAATTTTCCCATTTTCGATGATGACAAATTATGCATATGTCCCTAACCCACATCATATAACAAATTTTATTATTTATATATTTATTTTATATTTTTTATACTTCTAAACTATGTGAGCATTTGATTAACTCCTTTAACTTAATTTTGTCGTATTATTTAAACTCTTAAATTATTTTGGTCCAATTTTTTCTATTGTCTATGAGCAATTTTTGGCTAGTTTTGACTGTTATTTTGGTTTAGTTTTGATCTAATGGCATGAGCAAGGACAACAATTAGCAAGTTTTATGTACCAAATAAATAAAGGAAGTATGTATAAAATATCAACTTTACAAGTATGACAACTTCAAAAGACGTGTAAAATATCAAGAAGAATTTTATAAATATCAAAACGAGTGATGCAACTACATAGATACAAAAATCATTGCAAAAATGCATTTACTCGTGCAATAACATCATCTTAATTCAACAAAAAAGCAGTGCAATCTTGACAATTAAATTTAGGGGTTAATAAGATCCTCACATAGTTAAGAATGTAAATAATACGAAAAAAATTAAATTTAGAGAGTAATAAAATCCTCATATAATTTAGATGCATATATAACTGACAATTTTACCATAGTCCGAGTTTTTTCTATGTCTTACCTCTAGGATTACTTTCACTTGTGTAGTAACTCTAAAATTAGCGTAGTTAAACTTTCGTATCTAAAATAATATTTGATTTCTTTATATACTATCTTTAAATTATAGTTTTATTAAATATGGAGTAACAACATATAACTAACATAACATACAACTAATTAATAGTAAAATAATTAATAGTTATGAAAAATGTGAAGATTCACAAGCAAGAGAACATGTTTAATATATTTACTTGATATCGCAAGAAATAAAAAATACCGACAATTGGAACCAAAATGCTATCAAGCCTTTTTAAAAATACGATCCTTTAGTTGATAAATAATATTCTTTTTTCAATAAATTTTTATCTTGCCTAAAAAATTTAATACAAATGATTGAATTTATATTCAAGAAATTCTTATGATTTAGAGCATGTGGCATTATTGTTGGGAGGCCAGAGAAAAAAACACTCTTGTTGAAAAATCAAGTATTTGACAAATCAATAAAAATGCTTTTAAATATAAGTAGAAGCAGCTTTAAATGGAAGAAGCTAAAATTTTATGTTTAAAAAAAAAACAGAAGCAGAAACAAAGAATTATTTTCCACAAGACTAAAATATCATTTTCATATATACATATTTACCAATATATTTCTTATTAATTAATTAATTAGCATATTTCATAAGTTTGGTTAAATTTAATTTAAGAAATTTTTTTATATAATAAATTTTATAATTTATTTTACGTTTATATATTATATATTATTTTGTAGAATTAGAAAAAAAAAAAAAACAATTAAAGATTTCATGCCACACCTTTTGCATACCAAAAGAACTAGTGCAAATAATAATAAGTTAAATGTCTAGTTCGGTTTTCCATATAAAGAGACATGCAAATCGTTGCATGATGAAATTTGAATTTATTGCTTTAACAATGGTACGAGGAGAGACAAAATAGCTCTTGTTAAACATAGCGTTGTGCCAACAATGCGCGGATGCCAATTATCCTCATGCATTGTAATCTGATAGTAAATCGGAATATATTTCTTTGCGATATGAACATTAAAAACAAAAAATTTCATGACTTTATTGACTGATCGGAAAGAATATTTTTTTTTCTATTTTTAAAAATTGATTTCTAATGAAATTATTAGGCTTATTATGTTAAGTCTATCTATGACAACCTCACTGACTCATGGACCAAGTAAGGTATATTGATGAGAACTAGAGGTGTACGTGATCGGATTGGTTTGAGTTTTTCAAATATCAAATCAAACCATTTGTGTAAAAATTTTAAATTTATAAACCAAATCAAACTAATAAAATTTGGATTTTTTTGGGGTTTTCAACCTTGGGTTGGTTCGGGTTTTTCAAATACCAAACCAAACCATTGCATCAAGTTTATATTTATAAATCAAACCAAACTAATAAACCTTGGATTTTTTCAGATTTTTGGATTTTTTCGGTAAAGTTTGCATACAAACATATAATTAACTTGTGCTCCAAATATTTCTTAGTCCAACCGAAATACAATTATCTAAGGTGTTTCTTAAGAAAAATAACACAAAATATGAGATAGTACTGATGACACTAAAATATTCAATAAAAAATAATAATGAAATCATCATATAAAATAAATATTGCAAAGTCATAAGGAAAATTATCATAATTTAAAGTACTAAATCATGCTAAAATAAGTTTAATAAGTATTAGTTACATTACTAAATATTTAAGGAAATTAAAATTAGATTATGTATTTTAATTGTCTAAACCAATGTAAGAACAAATATCAATATTATTCTCATTCTTAGTGTTGAATTGATTTCCTTTTTGCATTAGTATTAATTTGATTTTGATTTTAAGTTTTATTATAATTATCAACATCTATGAACAATAATCTTTATTGGACCATTCCGAATTCTAAGTTTTAAAATTGAAATAATATATTAAAAGATAAAAACTATGAAATAGTATAAGAAATATTTTAAAAATTATATCAAAGTAAATATTTTATGTATTAAATAAAAATTTTAAAAATTACATATATAAATGTCAGGTTGGTTTGGTCTCGGGTTATTTTTTTTAGTTAAAACCAAACCAACCCAAATATAGTCGGGTTTTTTTTCCGGCTTGACTCAATTTACAGTTTGGTTCGATTTTCGGTTCGATTTTGTATACCCTAATGATAACTATCAACTATGTACCGTTTATAGGTCGAAGGTGATTATGATTTGTCACTAGTAATGAGAAACTTATTTTTATCATTGCTTAGAAGTAGTGAAGGTTTAAAGGTAGTACAATAAATTAGTATTAAATTAAGAAAGAAAAAAAAAGGGTGAGTAAAAGTTACTTTTAATGGAATAAATTAAATTTGAATTAAGAATTAAGGAATTTCGTATGTTAAGGATTTATTAAAATTCTTACCTGTATAGACACATGAAGTGCCGTTAATCAAAATTTGGAATAATATAATATATGGGATAATTTCGTACAATAAAGTAATTAGTTTGCAATAAATATATAATTATGTATCGATATTGTATAAATTGTGTATAAATGTATATCGATATTGTATAAATAATTATGTAATGTATCATACTGTATAAATGGTAAACGTGTTTTTCAAATTCAACCCATTAAGCCCAAACACTGTAGTTACCGTGAAACTACCATTACTACTAATCCTTTGGATTTTTCACCCACCATCTATTCGACACAATGCCTGGACGAAACTCGTAAAATTGATGCATCGACTATTGTCTCTTTCGACACAAAACAGAACCGTAACAACAACCCACAACCCCTTTCCTCATCGTTTCATTTTTCTTGAGTTCCGCCATTAATGTCGAGCTATGCAATTTGTATTTTAAATCAATACTATTAATAACAAAACTTTGCAGAAATAATAATTTCCAAAGTTTAAATCACGCAGTGTAAACAGAAATCAATTAACATAAATTAATGATGGTAAACGTACCAGAATCTGTAACAGTCGTATGAAACATAATGGAAAGAAAATCGAGCTCACTGAATGCACAGTGTCTCCTTAAGGAAATTATTCTCCTCTAGTATCCGAGGTTTGAATTGGAATATATCCTCCCAAGATAGAACGATTCTATTCACCAGTGTATTGATATCCAAAACAATGGTGTCATCGAGCTACTCAACGGCAGTAAAGTACACGAATATGAATTGTGCAGAAGAAGAAGTTCATAAATTTTGTAATTGAAAACTCTGAGGAATCAAAGGTATTTATAGCCAAGAAGCACTGGTTCCGAAATGTTGCAACCTTTCAGAAACCACATGACCATTCATGAAAGTTTGCAACCTTTCAAAAAGTCATTGTTATTTCTGCTCCAACGGTGGAAAATTCAAATAAAACGGAAAGATGTTTTAAAATACGGATTGAGCGGATCCGAATCGGGTTGGATCGTTTCAGCTAATTATTTAAATAATTAAAAATGTTTCGTCCAAAAAATAATCTCTCAATCGATCATTTTCCAAAGCCGAAGCTGAAGCCGAGCGAGCGACGACGACGCGGGGTCCCTCTTTTCAACCCTTTTAACAATTAGTATTAGTGTTTCTCTATTTAAACACTTTAACTTTTCTTTTCACCGCCAATGAGGGAGAAATGTTTTTTACTAAAGCATAAGAAAACCTTTCAATTCCCTTTTCATCTTCCCTCCATTTTTCATTAATTCTTACTATATACCCAACAATTCCACACATGAATGAGAAATGATTATAACATAAAGGAATGCATGGACGAGTGTGTACTTTACAAGCAAGGATTAATTGCATCTGGATAAGTAGGTTTTCCGTTAAATTTTCCATAGTGAGGATATGTCAGAATATGTTTTTTTACAATGATTCTCTTTGAATCGGCTTACAATTCACACTCACATAGGTGATTTCTAACGGTGTCATCGCGTAGTTACACTATTTGGTCAAATCTGCCAACTTAGCAAATCATTAAAAACTTAAAGCTTTATTAACTCGTTAACAAGCCTTAAAGTTTTAACCTTGTTCCTGAACATTGTCTTCATCATGAGAATGGATTGAGTTAATTGACAATGTCGAATCATCAGTCACAACTTTGTTTTCTCCATGAACCTAGCTCTTAGGATCTCCAGTCTACTGGGTAGAGTTACCGTCATGATGACTTGTCCTAAGCCGTAAACTCATTCCTTAGATGATCTTTCAACTGCCTCTCTCACTAGGCCTTTTGTTAGTGGATCCAACACATTATCTCTTTACTTTACATAGTCAATTGTAATAATTTCACTAGAGAGTAGTTGTCTTACAGTATTATGCCTCCGTCGTATATGACGAGATTTTCCATTGTACATGACGCTCCCTGCCCTACCTATTGTTGCTTGACTTCCTCAATGTATGCATATAGGTCCCACATGTTTAGGCCAGAATGGAATGTCCTCTAATAAATTTCGGAGCTACTCAGCTTCTTCACCGACCTTATCTAAGGCAATAAATTCAAATTTCATTGTAGAGCGAGCGATACATGTCTGTTTGGACGATTTCCAAGAGACTGCTCCTCCACCAAGTGTAAACACACCCACTTGTGAATTTTATTTCATTTGACCCGGTGATTCAATTTGCATCACTATACCCTTCAGTCACGACAAGATATTTATTTTGATGCAAGACATAGTGTTGTGTATGTTTCAAATACATCAACACACATTTCATTGTTATCCAGTGAGTTTGATTAGGATTACTAGTGAATCGACTCAGTTTGATTTGTATCCTGAATTTTAATTATTATGGGTCCAATTCAGGCCATTAGAGAAGAAGAAAGAATACAGGGTATAAAAGAGAAACAACATTAGTAGTGATCAATTTAAAGTAATTTTCTTATAATTTGCTGATGTCATGATCTAATTTTTCTAAGTCGCGAAGATACCTAACCCCAACTCGTTTGGCAAACCCTAAAATTATTTCAAACCAAAACATAAAATTTAAGAGATGTGAATAAGTCTAATAGCAACTTTCATAAGATAAATTAAAGAGTTTTAGAACTAAAACAGTGTGAACAGACCAAAATAGCCCTAAAAATGGTAATACAAGTCATGAGCTTCTAAAACACTATAGTACAAATATCTAAACAAAATGATAAGAACATCATACGAAAATAAAAGGAAAGACATGACAGTCTTGATCAACTTCTCATCACTCACTCCCGAACTCGACTAGTCCTATTTAGGATCAGGATCTGCACAAAAAAATGCAGTAAATACTATAGTATAAGTATATCAATAAGTATCATTATTTGCCCACAACAAGATTCTAGCGATGCTCGTCACCTCATATGTATGCATAATATACATAAAGCGATATCGAATTAGCCTAAACTCTCATCTTCTTTGTTGATCGTTAACAACGATAACATACTCAGAGTTACCCCACAAATGTGGTATGGAGAGGGTGATGTGTACCCAGACCTTACCCCTACCTTGTGCAGGCAGAGAGGTTGTTTCCAATACTGTTGTGGATGCATATCAAAATTTACCATTCGTATAGCAGAAGAAAAGCTTGCGAAGTTAAATTCCCCCACCCCAAACCAACCAACAAAATCTCTGTCAAAATTTTGTACTTTGATTCATGTATTACAGGTCGCCAACGCTTCAGGAGCTTGGAAAGCAATTAGTAAGAGCATCACCAAGAGTTTGTTCAACTAACTAACAAACCTGTTAAGGGTTCAGAAGAGTTTCTCAAGATGAGCTACTTTGTTTTACATGAATATTAAGGTAAATGTTTTTTTTTTTACTGTATTAAATAGAAAATGGTCCAAAAGTTGAGATAGTGACTTCATGAAATTTTTGAACTGTATACCATAGAGTGAATTGATTTGTTGTACTCGAGCCAAGAGTCCTCCCGAAACAAGCTCCTTATCTCTACGGGAAGGGATAAGGTCTGCGTACATTCTACCATCCCAAACCCCACTTCTGGGATTTCACAGTTGTAGTTGTTGTATCCGAAAAGAATGGATAGCATGGTGATTCTTTTAGTTGTAGAATATTGAGAAAGTATTGAAGAGTGCAGGAGAAATGCCTTTTTTCTAACTTATAACCTTCCTGTTATATTCTATGTATCATTTACCAAAGTTGTTGAATGTGGGAAGAAATCATCTTGATCTGGAAATTGAGTCTTGGATGCTTTCATAATACTTCAATGAGCATTTTAGCTTAATGGGAAGTAATGCAGAAATTATTTTTAGAATGACTTCTTCACTATTGTATTTCCTTTCCATACTTGATTCTGATATGCTTTACTTGAACCGAGGGTCTAACGGAAACAATCTATCTACCTTCACAAAATAGGGTAAGGCTGCATACACATCACCCTCCTTAGATCCCACGTTTGTGATACACTAGGTCCGTTGTTGTTGGAATTAATGCAGAAAGCATGTCATTAGAAAGACAGAAAGTGGTCACAAGTCACAAATTGATAAAAATTCAGAAAAGTATTCTGGGAATTTTATCACTTCCTATTTGATCTTACAGAGTTGTAGTGCCTCTATCCTGACTAACATTAGAGTATTAAGATTTCATGGTCTTACTGGTTCAGCTGCAGCCGTTAGATCCCAAATTTTCAGCTTTTTTTCCCCATAATGTATAGAACAACTTTATTGTTCTTACTAGCTATAAAAAGGGGTAAATAAATTGTCTTAAGCATGTGAAATTACTTATGAATGAGCCTACGACATAATGCTTTGAGGATCTTTCTTTAAACTAAGTGCATGGATTTCTTTTTATGTTACTTTATTCAAGAAGAAGCTGCATTACTAACAAAGCATTTACTTTTGTAGATTCTTGGGGTGCAAAGAAGAAGGCAACCAATTAACTCGTCTACGTACATCCTACCCTCCTTAAACCCCACTTATGGGATTACATTGGGTATATTGTTGTTGTTGAAGCATCAAAAAGCAATAAGAACATTACTAATCTTTGTGGGGTTAAAGGTTGCTAATGCCAAAGTAAGCATAACTGAATCTGGAAAAAAGAGGCTTAGCATATAGTTATAGCTAAAACTGTAACTCAAAATCTTTCAACCAATATCTATCAGTCTTACCATCTCATGCTGCTTGCTGTGTTGTTCAATATTGGTTCCATGACTTTGCGACACTCTGACTGAAACCAACGTGTATCCTTCGATCATCAATTACAGCATTAATCATCTTAAAATATGCTAACTCACAGGCCTCATTGTCCTCAAACTCAATGAAACCATAACAGTGGCTATCCCCAGTCTCGCGATCTCTAATAATTTCAGCAGATGCCACGGTTCCAAAGCGTGAGAAGATTGTATATAGGTCTTCGTCTTCAGTTACTGAATTCAAATTACAAACCCAGAGCACACGGGGTTTTATCTCAGCATAAGGAAGGTCCCGCTCATCCTCTAGTCCAACATCAACATCAATCTCCTCTTTTGGCTTTGAAGCATATGAAATCAAGTAACTTAATTGGAAAGGATCAACCAATTTGTGAGTGTGTTTGATTCGGATATTTTGAAAAGGCTTGCCCTTGTCATCCACATAAGCTTCATCGAATCCTTCTCCAATCTCTCCAGAAACAGTATGTTTCCCATCAAGGTTGTCCAGATCTGTATCACGTAACTTAGTAGCATTTAGATTATTCTCTCCAGCGCTAGCCATGGCTCGTTTCAAATCCGAATGCCGAGCCTGATCACCATATAGAAATTTGTATGAATCATCTCCCGTCTGCACAATGGAATCACAACCATCGTAATAATTAATTTTGCACAACTTCGAAAAAATCTTGCACGTTAAAGAGGTAAACAAGTCTATTTCCATGTCTCCCAAAGACCCAAACTTGTTATTATCATCACCAAGGAACAGAATGACAACGGATTTTCCGGCAAGCACGAAAAGAAGACGCAGGCGGAAGGCCTATTTTGGGATTTGGGAAGAGGGTTTCGTGAGAGATAGGGGAAGGGATATTTTAATTTTTAATTTATTTATAAAAAAAATTAGGGCAAATTACAAAAATCACATATTTTTAAGCCAAAATTATAATTTATCTCTTAAAAATTTATAATTATAGAAATCCCTCAAAACGGATACAATAATATAAGCGCTGATACATTAATCTGATGTGCGAGATACATTAATCGTTAAGTAAGATACATTACATTTTATACATGATACACTAATTTGATGTACATTTTATACATGATACACTAATCTGATGCGCGAAAATGAGGAATTTTAGAGATTTGTTAAAACTTATAAGGGATAATGGTAATAAATAAACTAAAAGGTAGGATTTCTGTAATTTTTCCAAAAAATTATTAGGTGAAAGGGAAAATCATAGTCCTAAGCCCAAACACCAAATTTGGTGTCAGCACTATTTTTTGTGTAATCAACTCCAACCCACTGCACTAAATTTTACACCAAAAGAAATATTTTTTTCTCTCTTTATTATTATATTATTATTTCTTATTTCATTTATATTTTCTTATTTCATAAAACAAATTCTTTCTAAAACATTCACCATATATAATTCATATTATTTCCTTTTATAATCGTTTAATATAAAATTATTTTGTACCATAAGTTTTTAAATAATATAAATTGCTAGCAAATATTATACATTATACATAATAATGAATAATACAAATAAAAGTGAAATCATTAATGAAATACAATTAAATAAACATTACATAATTGAAAAAAATTATTTTAAATTCTACATAAATATTCAACTTTCAAGATCACTACGGTACTCCCATAAATGCTCTATTAATGCATTACGTAGTTCAAAATGAGCTTCTTTGTCCTTTTATTTTTTTATATCGAGCTCGAAATTGTTGAAATTGATAATTTTCATCTATTGCCATTTCTACGGTCGGAGTTGGACCTTCCGACGCATCTTGAATTGGTGCATTAAGATCACGCTCATCCTTAATTATCATGTTGTGCATTATAATACATGAAGTTAATATATCATGTAGTACTTCTTAATTTTAAAAAAAAGCCATATATAGAAACATTAATTTATAAAAAAATTAACTTTTATATCTAAAATTAATATTATAAAAATATTACATAAAAAATAATTAAATATACAAGAGATTTAATTAAAACATACAATTTATATAATGTTTAATTAAAAGTTTGTATAAAGAAATGTATAAGAAGTTAAGAGGGGAGTATATAAAGGTTCCCTGGAGGAGAATGACTTGCAATAACCAAGGAAATCCTAAATAGATATTTGCACTGTACCTGGCTATTCAGAGAAGATTATACACCAGAGATAGATTGGAAAAATGGGGGATCACAAGTGAAGTAATATGTCCACTTTGCAAGGAAGAAAATGAATCGCACCAGCATTTATTCTGCACATGTCGCCTCTCAAAAGGGATATGCCAAAAGCTTATGCACTGGTTAGCAATAAATAGAGTTAGTAATGGATGGAATGAGGAACTAACATGGGCTGTAGAGTATGCTTCAAACAAAACCATACAAGCAGAAGTATACAGAATGACTCTTGCATCAACAATATACTACATTTGGCAAGAGAGGAACTATAGGATCTTTCAAAACAAGGAGAGGAACATGAAGTTGATCACTAGAACAATCATACAAGACATACATTGTAGAGCTAGTATGCTACCTAGATTTATATGTTTTATGCAAAAGTTTAACTTCTATCCTTAGAATAGAACTAGCAGGAAAGTTTTCTTTGAATTAGCTGGGCTCTGAGAGTGGAAGATGTCCACATCTAGAGTATCCAAACTTTGTACATATTGAAAATCTGGTAATAAAACATTATAGTTACAAAAAAAAAAGTTGGTATAATGAAATAATATTAAAATATTCAAAAAGTGAATTGGTGTGATGAATAGTGTTACACCAAATTTGGTGGGTTGGAGCTCACAAATTTTACACCAAATTGGATTGGAGATGGTCTAATATAATTTGGATTGCAAAATTAAGTACGCGCTGAAAAAGTACTACTCCACTATTGTATATATATAATTGATATACATATGTATTGGAAAAACAAATATATAGTTTGAATACATATAGTCAATTACAATACATATGTATATCAATTATACATATATACAATTACAATAATTTGGATTGCAAAATTAAGTACGCGCGGAAAAACAAATATATAATAGTTAATTCGCCAATATAGCTATAGTTTGAATTAAATTACGGCTCGCATCTTAATTTTATTTTAATTACGTCACTTGTCTTCTTTTATACATATACAAATACAAATTATACACACACACACACACACATATATATATATATATATATATATATATCTCCCCTCCATTTTCCAATCTCTCTCGTCAGATATACAAATACATATGTATATCAATTATATATATACAATTATCTGACAGATATACATATAGTTTGCCTCTCTCCATTCTTTGCCCTCTCTCGCTCGCGTCTCTCCTCTCTCTCCCAATCTCGCTCTCCTCTCTCCTTACTCTCCCAATCTCGCTCAGTAGGTATACAAATACATATGTATATAAGTCACATATATACAATTATTATATACATATACAATTCGACATATATACATATACAATGTGTCTCTCTCCACTCACTGCCCTCTCTCGCTCGCCTCTCTCCTCCCTCTCCCAATCTCGTTCGTCACTTCACTCTCCTCCCTATAACATGTAGCTACGAATCATAATTAGCAAACTATAACTATAGAGTGTAATTAAGCTATTTTTGAGTGGTTATATGCGAAAGTTCCCCTTTAATTAAGGAAAAATTACCTATATACACACACCTTTATTTTCCATAATTCCCATTATTCCCTACCATTTCTAAAAATCTTCAAAATCACATTACTTTAAGTTAAACACAAAACTCCTTTTTTCACAACTTTATTGTATGAGATACATCATTATCAACAACAACCAGATACATTATATAAAATTGCATCTGAAACATATTGAGTGGTACCATATTCACAAACATAATCTCCAGTACATTATTATCAACTACAGAATGATACAGTATATGAAAAAGTTATATGAAACATAATATGTGGCTGAAATGAACACAATAATGAAAATATTAACATGTCAATTTATTGTATTAGAATTTCATCAGCTAATAGCAAATTGTAATGTTTATCAAGGTAATAGTGAAAAAATCCAAAAATTGAAAATCTCTACTCTCAAAATAATGATCTGAAACATAACAATGTTCCCAAAAAAGAGTTTGTCAATCTTCTTCGGAAAGAAAGTACACGTTTTTCGATTGTAACATTCTTGTCCACAACAGTTTATGTTTGTGCTTATCTTTTCATCTGGATTTTTCCCCCTTTTTTTCCTTGGTCGTGCAGACATCCATTTGTACCTAGGTGACAAGATAATTTCTTCCAAACAAATTTCGATACTGACCAATCGTCGTTATCCGACATTGGAACCATTGTAACTTCATAAGTGATTGCTAATGCAGCTAGTTTGTAGTAATTCGAGAAGTAGGGATGTATCTCTGTAATATTTTTGCTCTTCAAAGCAGTAATTGCTTGCACACAAGGTATTCGTCATGTAGAAATCTCCCACAATTATAAATTTTATTTTCAAGGCAAATAGTGTATCTTCGCCTACCTTCACACGTTGAATAAATAGATGTATCATTCAAAAAAATATTAATATACATGCTAAAGTGGATAATAAATACATTAAAACAATATATTCTCTTGAACACCGATACATTACAAAAAAAGAAATTCAATATTGATACATAAACATAAAAAAGAAATTAACATGTATCTGGTACGTTATAGTAATAACACACTTACTCACAGCTATAAAAAAAACCCTATTAAATATACATCAAACTAGAATTGTATCAAGTTGAAATCAGTAATGTATCATGATTTATGTATGCATATACAAATTCAAAAATCAAAAAAGAAATTCACATGTATTTGATACTTGAGATTAACATTACACTAACTCACAAATGTGAAAACCTATAACATGTACGTCAAAGTTTTAATGTATCAAACTCTAACCAGCAATGTATAATGACATATAGATCAGTATACAAATTCATGAATGAAAAAATAAATGATTAAAGCACAAGAATATGTGTCGCGTGCCTTTTTTAATTAGGTCTTTTAACTTGAAAATTGAAGTTATGTATTTTGTATTTTGCCATTACAGCCACTAGAGTAGCTTTATCCTTGTACAACTGCTTCACCTTCACTTTCATACTATTTGTATCATCTATTCCTTCACTTTTGTATCATTCATATCTAACTTCACTTTCCCAGATTCCTGAATGCCTCAACAAAATTAAAATATTCATTATGTATTTTATGAAATTTTTGACTATGGATGAAATAGAGAGAATGATGAACAAGAAGAAGAAATTTAATTTTTTTTTGGTTCCTTTACGTTATATGACTGAATTGTTGACAGTAATTTGGAATTTATAGCACAGTTTATAGAATTTTAATTTGATTTTAAGTCCCCCCTTAATTAGCGCAACAGATAGATATTATGAGATCTTAATTTGATTTTTAGTTTCCCCCCTTAATAAGCTCAATAGATGGATACATAATGATATAATGTATCAATAATAATGTATCCAGATCCTGAGTTATGTCTCCGGAATGCCTAAAAACATGAGATTTGTGTTATTAGAAAAAGAGTAGGGATAGAAGGTAATTTCACTCTTACACTATGAAATTTTTATAATTTATACTTTAATTAATGCTTTTTTTTTTTAATAAATATGAGATAACTATTCTTAGTAAGATAGTCAACTAATATGAAATGGAGGTTGTATCTTTTAAATTAGGGAAAAGGGTCTGGAAAATATTTCAACTTTGGCCGAAATTGTTGTTACGATACCAAACTTTGGAAAGGACCTTTTACCCCCTGTACTATTTAATAGTGTATTTTAAAGGTACATATGTGTCTATGTGGACATCATAAATATTGCATCATTTTA